ATCCCCAGAATTATATCTCAAAATAAAATTATACTGAAAAGGACAAAAATAAAATAAACATCACAGTAACCTCAAGTTTTTAGAAAAGTTCCCTTAGTTTATTTTTCTTTGTCACAAATACATACTGACACAAATCAGATGCCATGTAATCAGTTAAATGACATTACAAAACTTCGTAATTAGAGCAAAGAAGAAACAAACTGAAGTAAAAATCTTAACCAAAAGCGGTTGTACATGTTGTTCCAAAAAGTAAAATAGTTGAAACGATTAATTCATTCTTGAATATCTCAGTTGAAAAAAAATATGAATAGCAAAGAAAAAAACTAGCTTTCAAGACCAACGAAAATTTCAAATTTCCCTTGTGAGCTAAAATCAGCAAAATTGGCAACCGCAATAATGCTCGTAACCCAAGTCGATTAACTGTTAGCATCTATGGTGATTTATATTGACAATCATTATATAAATACGGCCTTAGATATTTATACAAATGCTCTCGGTATTGTATGTGTATACTATATGTATAGCGACCCTTAATCACCGCTGCGCTTTTTCTGTAAATCACTGGGGCAGCAGCTTAACATTTCTGGCAACTTCTCAACCAACTAATTTTGTGCTGCAATATATACAAACTGAGAAATAATTTCTAAAATGGTTGCCTGTGACACGGTTTAAGACATTTTTATTAAAATTATTTAATCAGGTTGAGGGAGCAGTATGGTTCTTTTGGTCCTTGCTTTTTTTCTTTTTTTGAGTGTGCTTATTAGTAGAGGATTTTAAGGCAGGCTTTTTCAAAGAAAGTTCGTTGAGTTCTAAATATTAATTTTTCAATTTACTCACGTTTGGTTTAAAAGTGAAGTTGTTCATTGTAAGTCCTACGTTTTAAATGTCAACAGTGGTCGTTTTCCAGTATTCATGGTCTGCCGGACGTATTAGCTTTAGTCATTATTTGTAAAGTTTGTACCCTTTTGACGCGCTATAATTGCATAACGAAACTGTATATCAGCTCTTAGAATCTAGAGGGTACCACAATGGGGAAGATACACTATTCAGCACAGCCGGAAAACAGCACAAAGTCATGCAAGGCACGAGGTTCCGATCTTCGCGTTCATTTCAAGAACACGTATGAAACAGCGCGAGTTCTTAAGAATATGCCACTGAGGAGGGCCATTCGGTATCTTGAAAATGTGAAACTAAAAAAGGAGATTGTTCCGTTTCGGAGGTTTAATCACTGTGTGGGTCGTAAAGCGCAAGCTAAGGCTTTCAAGCATACGCAGGGAAGATGGCCTCATAAGTCTGCGGAATTTCTTTTGCAACTGTTAAGGTGAGTGTACGTCAATGCTCTTTTAATGCAGGACTTGGAATTCTGCTGAATTTTTCGTTTTAAGTATAACTTTAGATACAACGTCCTTGTTTTCTCTGTAGTTTAATAGCTCCTTGCTGCTGACACTCAGCATTGAACGATAATGTGACATATTCGTGAGTTATTGGGAATTGAATTTTTCACAAGTGCTATTGAAATTGAAGTTGGATTTTAATTTTTTTCATATAGACGAAGTTAGTTATAATGGTAAAAAGTTTTATTTGGAATATTTACAGCTGGAATTCTGCGTTTTGTGAGTGATAAGTTTCAGCATTCATAGCAAGGAGTTTTTATGCGTAAAGGTTTTTTGTTTATTTTAATTTTTTCGTAGATTTTGGAGGATGGCAGTTTTAAGACTGTATAGTGAATTTGCCGTGTTTTAAATCTTAAAAAATTTGTTTGGGAGCTTTCTTGTGGACTTTGCAGAGTTTCATGTTGTTTTTAAAATGAAACACCGCTGCTTTTCTTAGTAGTGAGGACTAATTTTTGAGAAGCCAGTTTTTTTGTTATTGAATATGATAGTTTTGAATGGCGCTTACTCATAATATCTGGCTAGTTTTAAAAGAATTTTCAACAAACAGTCTTATAGAATGCAAGTGTTTTTTTGTTGTTCGAAGAAATTTGACTTTTTCTTGAAAGGCAGAAGTCTTGCAGCGAGGTTTATATATTTCTATCTGAGATGTGTGTTTCTTTTTGCTATATTGCTGGACGAAAGGAAAAAGGAAAGCGGATTTGGTTAAAGAGGGAACAGAAGGGATGTTTACCGCGAAAAACCTTAGTCTGAAAATGTGTAGTTTTATAGGGAATGAAGGGGAAGTTGGAGATTGTACAAAAATTCTACTGTTATGTTGAGTTGCTTAGCTTAATATAGGTGCAGAGTTATGTGGTGGTTATTGTAGACGGAATAAGTAAACCTTGTTTGACTAATTGGTAAGCGTCTTTCAGTATTCAGTTAATTTTTTAAAAAGATTTCTAATAAAAGCCTTTTAAAAAGCCAGTATTTTGTCTTTACCTTAAATTTGGTTCAAGTCATTTTCAAGAAAATAATTACTTAATTGAATATTTGTCTCAATAGGAATGCAGAAAGCAATGCCGAGTATAAAGGACTTGACACCGACCATTTGGTAATTGAACACATTCAAGTGCAACGAGCTCCGAAAATCCGTAGGAGAACTTACCGTGCCCATGGTCGGATCAGTCGTAAGTTTCAGTTCGTTTCGAGTAATCAACGTCTTTAATCACAAAGATTTTTGTTGGGTATTCTTGCCCGTTTGACATGCCCCTGAGAGAACTTGCTGTGCTCACTGAAAAGTTGATATACATAGAATGAGGGATAGCCGAGGGTTAAAAGACGGCAGTCAGCTATTGAAATTGTGATTGTGAAAAACTTTATTGGAGAAGTCCAAATGAAGCGTCCCAGATGAGGCCTCTGCACCGTATAATTTTCAAATTTATTCTTTTTTTGAGCTCTTGTTTTCAATTTTACTTTTGAATGCAAAGGGTGTCGAATGCTATTAAGTCATGACTGATATAATGTAAGAAGCTATGATTTTCTAACGAGGTTTTTCTGTAGAGTCGCAAAGATTGCCATATTTAGCTTCTATATCTCAAGCTTCTTGGAAATTTTTATTACTGTTTTTCTAGAAGTTTGGGGAGTAATGTGAAAATTTTTTGGTAGTTTTGAGGTCCTAAAACAGTTCTGTTGTTTTTATGTTTTGTTTGTACTCCATTCTGTTTTTTTTTTTTTTTTTTTT